ATTTCTAAATTTTTAAATTGTAAATTTCATTTCTATATTTAACGCATAATATATTTAATTTCTAAATTTACACATAATTAACACAAAATTAACACGTAATTATATATAAAGTATTCATACACATACAAAATTGAAACATAATTTTGTTTTTTTTTGAAGTTATTAACACATATTAATTTCAAATTAAAACATAATTTTGTTTTTTTTTTGACATTATTAACACATATTTAAAACATAATTTCAAAATAAAACATTAGTTTGCTTTTTTTGAAATCATTAACACATATTTAATTTCAAATTTTATATATTTAAAAACACAAAAAAAAACCCAAAACTTTAAATAAAATTAAAAAAACAAAAAAAAGACGAAATGGCGGCCGACGCACGGTCGGACCACCGCCACCATGGCGGTGGCGTCTGGCCGGGACGTCGCCACCGTGGCGGTGGAGCCTGGCCAGGACACCTCCACCATGGCTGTGGCGTTCCAGCCAGACGTCACTACCACGGTGGCGGCTTCCTGACTAGGCGCCACTGCCACGGTGGCGGCGGTCCGACCATGCGCCGGCCGCCAATTCGTCTTTCTTTACCGTAACGTACCTCATTTTCTGGCGATGATGACGGCTCTCCGGTGTCCCTCGGCAATCCAGTGCTGCTCCACATTTTTGGTGAGAGAAAATTTCATTTTGGGTAAAAAGTAAAAAAAAAAAAAAAAAAAAAAAAAGGCAAAAGTGTCGAAGTTTTTAAAATTGTGGGCTTTATGTAGATAATTGTGGGCGATTTTTATCCTCATTTTACCATTAATTAAACTAAAATAAAAGTTATTCCAATTTAATTAGAATCATAATACTATTCATAAAATAAAGTAACATTCTAAATTACTAGCAATACTCATAAGTCGAATGTAGCATTGAGGAAATAGTTTGATAGATAAAGACATCATTATTTGAACTACGATCATTAATATTATACCGATCAACTTTAATTGTAATACTTAAGTGAGATTTTTGCCGAGGTAACCGAACACAATCTCGAAATCTGAATATTTTGAAGATTTATTTTGATCGGCTTTATTTGATGTTGATCTAATCGGTTGTATTCCAAAAACACTTGACCAAGGCAATAGTGACACATTGAAATTACTTTGTAGATCTCAAAAAAAAAATTCTTTTTTTTTATCTTGACTTGCATCATTACATTTATCTTAAAACAAACCGTAAATATCATCTTGTTTTTCTAAATGTTTGCATTGTATCTGAGAAATAACTTAATGAAAGCAAAAATAAATGTTCAAGTTTTACCGCTATCAATACCTCACATGCTCCACATTTTCACTCATGAGAATTAAAGATAATAGCTTATTGAAAATTACACTAAATAACTAATTATATAAAACCATTTATAAACTAACAAATTATACAAGTATAATTTACGAATCAATTAACAAATTACATGAAAATATTTACAAATTAGTAACTCCATCACATGAATTGTAAAATATAAAGTCAAATCATTGTCCAATGGAACATCATCATCTCTAATATATTTTTCACCAGTTATCATACAAAAATAAGAAAATGAAAGTACCTCTTTTAACACATTTGTATAAAGATTTAAGTTTTTTTTATAATTGATTAATTCTCTCTATCACTTAAAACCATGAATGAATTTGGGGTATATAAATGTGATGTATCCCTCCCTTTCTGGTCTTTCCAAAACCTTTTTTTGCCTTCAATTTCGAATCCAAAAGAGCTACCGTATGAACCTAAGTAAATATGTTCATCACCCCGTCAACCGAACAAAACTAGCGCGTGTCTTTATTCTTATTGTTCACCATGTACAGTGACCAAAGTAACATTACCCTCACCCATGTACACCGTCTTCCCACTTTCATCAAATTCATCTACTATCTTCAATTCACAATACTCCGCTATAACGCAACACGTACACAAAACTTAATACGTCAATCCATTTCTTCATCGTCTGCAATACATTGAAACCCATGATTCCAATCAATGTAATACTTTTGTGCGTTCTGTTTTCAACAAAATAAACAAAAAATAAAAATAAAACTAGTAATTAGTGTAAAAATGTTCTAAAATACACTATACTAAAAATACAAAAAAAACATATGTTATTCGTATAATATTTTGGGTCATAATATATACCTCTTTTGGCTTACAAGGTCAAAGTCCTTCTCATCGACGATCCTATCCATTTGAAATCAAAGTAGAAAATTTGATACCGTTTTTTTTTTTTTCTCCAAATTCAAACAGATAGCATATGTTTGAGGGATAATTGTGGTACGTTATATTGTTAGTCAGTAAGCCCATAAGATTAATCTGGAACTGTATTAGAGACTGAGACTATTAATTAAAAAAGAAAATATAACAACAATTTTTTTTATTTTTTTCTTTTTTATTTTTTTTGAGGAAAAATGTTAGCATGAGATTTTATTCTAGATCAAGTTCTGCTAAGGTATTATATAAATATTTGCAATAACCTATCAATAAAAACAATTGTTATCATATTAACAAATTTCATCTAAACTATTAATTAAAAAATTGATTATAATTATCACATAAAAATAAAAATTTAATTAATTTGTATTAAATGTTTATAAGTCAAAGAGTGTCAATAACAAAAAAAAAGGGTACAGTCTTTGGCATGGGTACAAATTAATTTAAATTGAAGTTTAATTTCTTTTAAAAAAATATTTTTTTTTTGGCAAGTTAAAATTAGGTATGATTAAGTCAACATTTTCATTACATAATTTGTAAAAACCGTGCGTGGAACGGGTTTTAAGCTAGTTCAATTTTATAAAAAAACATTGATTTCATGATTTTTATTATATACTTCCTCTGTTTCTATTTAGTTGACGCGTTCAATTTAGGCACACATATTAAGGAGAGGAGAGAGAATGATAAAGCAAGTGAGGTACACTAAAAAAAACAATGTATAAAACTTACTCAAAAGGAAACATGTCAACTAAAAATAAATTTACTAAAAAGGAATATGTGACAACTACAAAAAACGATGGTAAGTATTTTATAATATTTAAAAATATAAAAAATTATTTCATAATAGTAGAAGGTGGAGAAAGTTTTGGGGTAACATATCACATGTAAATTGTGTTATTATAGATTTTTTTTTATTTTTTTATTTTTTTATATAGAGTTTTGATGAATAATATAAAGCAAATAGTACTATATAAATATAGGAAGGTTTTGCTTTTACTATAGGTTATTATAGATGATCTTTTACTAGACTTTTGGAAATTGAAATTTACACATGTACACCCGGAAGAAAACGCTGTGTTTTGTTCAAAATTTCATGCTCCAACACTTGCCAAATTTAAAAGAAAAAAAAAAGGAAAATCAATCTCAATTCAAGAGATTTAGCGTGGTATTCTCCATATTTTCATTTTTCGAATTTAGAGAGAATTTTACAAAGAGAATACTTATAAAGAGCAAAAAATGGCATATCAATCCGAGTTTCCCATAACAATTCATTATAGATTAACTATGCCCATTGTTCGGTGGGAAAATGAAGTAATTCTAATGTACACCTTATTGAAAGGGTATAAGGTTGATATTTCATTCATCTTCTTGTTCTTCTAAGGATTTTAATTTCCAACATAATCACTATCATACGATTATAATTGGCGCATACTAGTGTACTACACACATAATAAGGGTTTTAATATCATCATCATTGATCGATCCAAGTTAAAACTTTAACATGTAAAATAAATTATTTACAAGTATTTAAACTTGTTCACGAGTCTTTGGAGTAGAGCCGAGCTTTGTTCATCTTATGATATTAGGCCATTAACTTGGAATCTTGGAACCATTCAGGCTTATTCTCACCTCTAGGCTCTAGCTATGGATAAGTTATCACCCATTTAGTAGTTTTTTTAAGATTATGTTCAATTCTGTGTTTTTTTTTTAAATATATACTCGTATATCACCCGTTAGGATTAGCAACACATGGCGCCGTAACATGCTTTGTTATTAAATATTGGCTCCTAAGCTAAAAATAATCTTCCCATAACACCGGTCACACATATTTTTATACCAAAAGTTGATTAATAAAAAATAATAATAAAAAAAAAAATAAGTTTAGTTAAAACATCTTAATTTACTGCATAATTTGGCATATTGAAATTTATACAGCCCTAATTCCTCGAATCTGATGAAAAATGGATCTAGCCATTACTATCTGTTCTACTATCAGGTATAGAGTTACGTACTTGAAGCGTCGAACTTGATTTCATTTGTCTGATCTTACTGTTATCTATATACGTGCTATTATAAAATGTTGGTCATTTTTGTAATCTAATCTTGATCTCCTACTTTCAGGTGAAGTTGATCTTCACAATTCGTAGTTGTTTGTGTACTCGTACTCATAATCCTCCAGCAAGGGCCATGTCCACTTGATGCCGAATTGATAGCTAAACTATGCCCATTGTTTGGTGGAAAAATGAAGTAATTGCAATATAATCCGTGTTTGAAAAAGTTCATGCTTTGTATTTCACTCATGCATCTTCTAAGGGTTTTCCAACATAATCACTATCATACTATTATTGGCGCATTCTTTGTATTTCATTCATCTTCTAAGGGTTTTCCAACATAATCACTATCATACGATTATTGGCGCATTCTTCAACTACAATTAGAAGGCACATTGGCTAAGCGATTTCGTGGAAGTTCTAAAGAAAGCATGTGCTTCAACCTGAGAGGATCGAAGAGAAGTATACTTGAGGTGGCTAATGGACCAGATCAAAGACTGGAACATCATCCAAGTCTCCAACAATTGATCAAACACAAATCAACAAGGTTAACTCAGTTAGCCCAGCTTTTTACACGAGACAGCCCTGTTCCACCTCGACCAAAGTACCCCAAACTCGATCATCTGAGATATATAAAGATTATAGACCACTCAACCACCTCAAATTGACTGAGATATAAAACACAGAACGATAGTAAATACAAACAAGTATATATAGAGCTTAGTAGCAGTAATCATTCCCCAGTACTCCGGATAATGTACATAATAAGTTCAACTCAAGTTTCATTACAGTAGTTTTAAGAGGGATAGGCAGCCTTTTCACGAGAACTAATTAAATTATGACATCAGAATCCTACTAGACTTTAATTGCATCATATTTTGAAATGTTGTTAATTTTCTTACTCTCGTCCATTTAAGCACTCTCGTCCAGTTAAGTACCCTGAACCAGGAGGATGATGAACATGTGTTTTGTCACAATAACGGCAGCCGCAAATATCAGCTTTATCTGAATGATATGAGAACAAGATTGCCAAAAATGAGTCTCATAATAGTAACAAACTTAAGATAATAGTAACAATAACTAATGAAAAACAAACGCCAAAAGATAGCAGTAAGATCAGACATATGATTATATGGTTTCAGCTGATACATTCAGGTGTTTCCAAGTACATATACCTGGTAGGGAATCGGATGGACCCAAGCATTTGCAGAAGTTAGCGAAGTAGAAAAACCGGTTTCGAATCACTTGGGCAAAAAAAGTCTGCACTGGAACGTCGGGATCAATTTTGTCCTTAGCCTCGAAATTGAGATGCCTGATAAGCCCTATGCTAATCCTTGATGTTGCAATGGGACCTTTCTTCACAAGCTCAAAATTTGTACCCTTAAAATTTGTAACAATAGCCAAAAAAAAAAAAAAAAAAAAAAAAAAAAAAGGTAGGCCAGTATGAGTCATAATGATCGTATGACAAGAAAGAAGATAACACGACACATGGAAATAATTAGCAGGAGAAGAAAATTTAATCAAAGGAAAACACCTCTTTTTCATAAAAAAAGTGCAAGGCTACATCTTCCATAGCTATATCTTTAGTGCTCATGTTGGGTAAATACTTGACTCCAGGATGCGAGAAATTAGGAATGAACAACGCTTCTTCTTTTTCAGCTTTCTTTAGCCTAAGATTAGCATTTGGAAACAAAAAAATCTTGGTCAAGAGGTAGTTGATTCGAGTAAGTGCAAAATAAACAAAGTTCTAATTCCGTCACCACATTTAAATTTAGATCACATGAAGTCAGATTAAGGACAAATCTATATATCTATAACTCAATCAGCAGTGAAGCAATGTACTATACGAAACTAGTAAAAGAAGAGCAGTTACAAGCTAGAGAATAAATCAACATACCCCTCTGCAATGTATGTTCTAATCTCTTGGAGTTGGGAACACAAGGTTGGATAAAGATGCTCAGCTCCTCTTTGGAAGGACTCATGAAAATGAGGATGATGAATATTGTTAGAGCAACAATAGAGACATCCAAGAGTATCAGCTTTCTCTGCAAAAATGGTGTAACCAAGATGACTATAATGTTGAGTAATATCGTAATGGTAATGACAACCCGCAAAAAGAAACAACATCAAGACAGTAGAAAGGGCAATACAATTATGAATATGTAACCTGGTAGTAAGTGGGTTGGCCCCATGAAAATGAATCTGTGACAAGTAACAACACTTCTATTATCTTTGGTGTTCAGAGAAAAAGGTGTGCACAGGAGCATCAGGATTATTTTTCTCCTTAGCCTTGAAGTTAAAATGGAAAATACGGGCTGTTGAAATGTATCCGGCTGCTAGGGGGCCAGTCTCCACAAGCTCAAAGTTTGACGAACAACGGTTATTATACACGTTTACAGCCATGATTGCATATTTCTGCCTTCTGGCTTCAGGTCCTTTGTCAAAACCTTCGTCTTCAGAATCAGATAATATCACACTGACCAAAGTTATCACTCATTAAATTAAATGTATATCAGCAGAGAACAGTGGTGCAGTAAAGGAGCTAGTAAGCAATATATAAGCTACATTCTTGAAAGCCTTAAGTTGGACTACAATGATCCCGGAAACCCAGCTTACCTACGTTCATGAATTGATGCTCGTTGAGACCTTTTATATTCAGTTGGCTCAACCAAGCATTTAAGAAAACAAATATCACTAGACCAGAGAGGCACCCTTTGGGTATGACAAGAGGAGTATACAATAAGAAGCTAGTATCATTATCATGGTTTGTTTTCCACTATACAAACTAATGTAATCAAACAATTACAGATTTTGTTGTTTTCCACTATACAAACTAATGTAATCAAACAATTACAGATTTTGTTGTTTTCCACTATACAAACTAATGTAATCAAACAATTACGGATTTTGTTGTTTTCCATTATACAGATTAATGTAATCAAACAATTACGGATTTTGTTGTTTTCCACCATACAAATAACAAACTAATGTAATCAAACAATTTACAGATTTTGTTGTTTTTCACTATAGGAGTACAAACTAATGTAATCAAACAATTACGGATTTTGTTGTTTTCCACTACAAAATAATGTTACCAAACAATTACGGATTTTGTTGTTTTCTACTATACAAACTAATGTAATCAAACAATTACGGAGATTTTGTTGTTTTCCACCGTACAAAACTAATGTAATCAAACAATTACGGATTTTGTTAACCAAAAATAAAAAGAATTAAATGAAAAATTACCAAGAATCCTCGGAGGGAAGTGCAGTGGCAGGTCTCAAGTTGTAAGGGCAGGTACCTACATCAACAGCCGATTTCCTTCTCCTTTTCCGCAAATGGAACGTTGGGGAAAATACTTGTTGTCGTCTAAACATAAATCAAAATCAAAATCAATTTGATCGCAATTCATGAATCGATTAATTTGTTAATTAATTAATTAATGTACCTGGATTCCAAATTCTGTTTGCCATTAAATTCATCTTTTTTTTCTCGATTCACGCTTCGTACGCACCTTGCGATTGCTACTACCCCAACCCACCCTCACCCTCACCTCCATCTTTCTCTTTTTCTCTCTCGGAAATTCGGGAAAAAAATGCCACAATTCAAGAACTAACTAAATCCATAAAATCACCATCAATTTCATCACAAAATTAAATCATATCATAAGATTCACAAACTCCAAAAAAATATTCAAAACCCTTAAACCTAATAATACCTCCTCCTTTAATTTGGAAGCACAACATGCAACTGAGAGATTGTTAGTTTTCTTTTATATAGGGGAGGGATATGAAGTGGCGCCAAAGAAAACCTACTACCCTTATATTCCCTCAATTCCTTTATTTTTGCCCCATTGTCATTTTTTGGGTCAAACTTAAAAAACTTTGACCATACATTATCGTTACTTTATAAGAGATAATATAATCATAAAGTTTTGTTAGATTCGTCTCATTAATGTTTTAATTAATATCACGTTTTTATAATTTTTACGTGTATCAAATAAAGATATAGACATTTTAAAACACGTCTTAGAGAACGTGCAAAGTCAAATGGGGCAAAAAAAAAATAGGGATAGAGGGAGTACTATATTGCAAATGCAGCACTTGGTCTTCAAAACAAGCGTATACAAGAATTATTTTATTTTTTTTATTGCTTTCGTTTTATATTATTTACAACATTTTAGAAAACGGATGCTACAAGCTAAGAAAATTAAAACTAATTTGAACACTCCTAATAGTATAATTGGCAAAAATATAAGACCAAAAGCAACAAAGCCTCAATCTTTTAGGGGTTATAACGTAGGGGTCGTATCCACCTAATGCCAAGCATGATAGATTAACTATTCTATGCCCATTGTTAGGTTGGAAAAATGAAGTAATTGTAGTGTACTCCTTATTTGAAAAGGTTGATAATCCATTCATCTTCTCGTTCTTCTAAGGATGTAAATTTTCAACATGATTACTGTCACATGATTACAATTGACGCATACTACACACATAATAAGTTGAGCTTTCATGTTATTGTTTTAAAATTCTAACGCCTGGGGAATAGGGATGACAACATTTTCTTAAATAGAGTATGGAGTATTTTAATCTCATCATAAATATTACATGAACTTCTTACTATTGATCGATCCAAATCTTTTTTTTACATGTAAAAATAAATTATTTATAAGTATTTAGACTTTTTCATGAGTATTTGGATCGGACTATCGGAGTAGAGCTTAGCGTGTTCATCTTATGATAGTTTTGGACAAATCTTAATTTACTTGGAACCCATTCACGCTTATTCTCACCTCTATTGAATTACAAATTTTTACCTAGACCCTTGTGTAGGTAGCACTACATGCACCCTCTTTTCTTCATAATAACGTCATCTTATATTTTTTCCGTTTGGAATCACATATAAAATGTTCATTTTTATATATGTAAATGTTCAATTTTGTATCATTAAATGTTCAATCTTATTAATACGACCTTCTATATTCAAAATATTATATTTTTGTTTTTAGACAGTTTTTATTAATTTGCCTTATTATTTGGTTGAGTTAATATACTTCTTTTGAAAAAATATCTTTCAATATAGAAAAAAAGTAATGCATTATAACACCATTTTAAATTAACATAGGCTCATTGTTTCTTGTTTCTTAAGCATACAAGGAAATATATTTAACTTTTCAAATGGAAATATGCTTTATTTAAAAAAATAAAATTAAAAACTATATAAAAAAAAAAAACAATAAAAGTGAAATCTTAAACTAAGAAAATGTACATATCATACATGTATCTTACAAAATGAACATCGTTTTTTAATGTAATACATCTGGTATAAATAAAAGGTATATAGAATCATCCTCCTAGTTATACGCTTGTACCCCTTCTACTATTATGATGTTTGTATTATGCTTTTCTTAATACATATTTTTTCTCAATATTTACATCGTCGTCTTTCACTTTTTTTATTTCATTATCCGGTAAAAGAATAACTAATTTTTTAAGGAAAATGTTAGTTACAATTAAGCCACACTATAAAAAAAAAAAAAAAAAAAAAAAAAAAAAAAAAAAAAACTGGATAATCAAATACACATTTATAGATACAAATTTGAACACATTGTTAGAAATGAACATAGTTCGTTCAATATAAGAATGAATCAGTATTAAAATCTAAATGAACATCTTTCAACATGAAAATGAACAACTATTAAAAGTCAAATGAACATCTATCTTTCAACACGAGAATGCATGAACATATATTAAAATTTAACTGAGTTTTTTCAATATGATAACAAACAAGTATTAAAATTCAAACGAATATCTTTTAATGTGAGAACTTAATGAACAAGTATTAAACTAAATGAATATGTTTAGATATGAGAATGAACATTGTATTAGAGTAAAAATAAACATCTTTCAATATGAGAATGAGCATATAATTTAAAAAGAATGAATATATATGAAAAATGACCATAAATGAACATTAATTTCATCTAAAATGATCATTGTTCCTTAAAAAAAAAAGAACATTTACAATAGATTAAGTTTCATAGCCAAAATTCACCAAATAACAGTTTTTATTAACAAAATAAATAATATTAATTAAGAATCAATGATTCAATTCCGTAAATCAAATTGATAATTTGGCTATTAAAATATGAATATTAATCCTTTACAAATGAACATAAAGTTCATCTAAAATGAAGATTTATAATATATTAAATTTACTAGTCAAAATTCATTGAACATCAGTTTTAATTGACTCATGTTATAATTATTGAAAGTTCTTATAACATAATTTAAATATTATTTCAAGAACCACTTCCGTGATAAACTATAAGAAATCAAAAACTCTTATGGAAATCCCTTATTAGATATATAGAAATTAATGAAGAAAATGGCAAAAAAAAATACATTTATTAGAATTTCAATGACTATTTATTATTATTTGAATGACCGTATACTAATATATAAATGAACATTCATCAAATTGAAAATGAACATTCATCAAAAAGAATTTTTACTACGCACTAAATTTACATTTCTATAATCCTACGAATCATGTCAAATTATCTAGAAAATTAGGACAATTACACTTTATTTTCATTTTTTTATGTCCAATATGTTTGTAATCTAATAACACACCACAAATCGATTCAACAAGTATACCATACATCATTCTACTACAATTATGAGAAATCACTTTTATGATTTTTAAAAAAAAATTAAAAAAAAAAGAAAAAGAAAAAAAAAGAGAGAAAACAAGAACTACTACCGAAGTTTATTATATCTAAAGAATATAACTGAAAAATGAGGCAAAAAGTTAGGGTTTGTACATTTTTCCTTCCAAAAATAAACAAAAATAACTTATAATTTTATTTTCGATCTTTCTTTTGAAAAAACTTCCTTCGATTTTGTGATTTCATCCTTTTAGTCCAATGTTTTAGTTGCGATCAAAGAGAATTTAGATTTGTTTTTCCAAGAGAAATTTGGGAGATTTTGATAGTTTAGCAGAGAGAAAATGAAGTAAAAAAGTGAAGAAAGTGGGTAAAATTTGAAGAGAGAAAAAATGTAGTAGTAATATTTCTTTTTTTTAATTAGCATTTATACGAGGAGAGAGATAAGGTGGATTTTTTTTTTTCCATCCTGATAGTAGTTATTTGGGGGTGAACTGCTAAACATCGCCCGCAAATCTCTACATAAAGCCCACAAATTTTAAGTGAATTGACACTTTTGCCCACAAATTAAAAAGCACACTCTAATCTTCTTTCTACTCTCTACTCTCATTTTCTCTCTCTAAAAAAATTTTCAAACTACAATTTCGATGCGGCAAGGCAATGAAGTGGCGGCACCGGAGGCGGAGGAAGGTATTTTTATTTTTTTAAAAAAAAACAAAAAAAACTCGATGCGGCGGTGGCGTCTGGGCAGGACGCCGTGACCATGAAACCGGTGGCTGGGCGAGACGCCAGAGCCACGATGGTGGCGTCTTGCGTGGGCGCCGCCACCGTGGCCAAGGCGTCCTGCTCAGGCGCCGTCGCCGTGGGCCTGGCGTCTAGCTAGGGCGCCGCCACCTTTCTTGATTTTTTTTTGTTTTTTTTTTTTAAAAAAAATTCAGAATTTTTGTATTTTTTTTTTGTTTAATTTTTTGTTTTTTGTTTATGTTTATATTTTTGATTTTTTTGTTTTTGTTTATATTTTTGTTTTTGTTTTTATTTTTTGTTTTTTAGTTTTTGTTTATATTTTTTTAGTTTTTGTTTATATTGTTTTGTTTGTTTTTAAATTTTTATATTTTTTTTTTTTCAAATTTTTTGTTTTTTTTATGTTTATATTTATTTTTCAATTATTTGTTTTTTTTTTTCCAATTTTGTTGTATTTTATTTATTTATTTTTTTTAATTTTTTTTTTTATGTTTATATTTATTTTGTATGTTTTGGTATTTTTTTTTCTTTTTGTGTGTACTTTTTTTTTATGTCAATTTGTTAGTATTTTCTTGTTTTGTTTATTTGATATTTTTTTTTGGTTAGGTATTTTTTATTTTTGTTGTCGATACTTGAAAAAATAGATTATTAATATAAATAATAATAACAATTGCTATTATTTTTCGTTATTTAAATAGAGTTAGGTATCACATTTTTGACCTGGTGCGGGGAAGAGTATGGATGTTATTAGAAGTAGAATCTACTCAATGGAGAGCTCGGGGCCCAGATATGTAAGATCCCGTGGTATTTCGGCCTCGGCTCGTAGAGAACGGGTTCACTATCCCGAGGAGGATGAAGATGATGATGGTGATGAGGAAGAAGAGGAAGAGGAGGAGGAGAAGGAGGAGGACGCAGATGAGGATGTGGTGCTTGGGATGGACGATCAGAGTGGACCATATGATGATTATGATCAATTCAGTCAGAGGCTTGATGATATGTATGAGACGTATAGGGTAGATGTGCGTAAGGGTAGAGATGGTAGATTTGTTAGTAGATCTGGCACATCATCTACATCCACTGTATTTGTTAGTTGACGCGTGTGAGCCCCTAACCGAGTAGGCCAGTATATTTGGGGCTCGGCTACGTTGGCGTATCTGTATCGCCAGCTAGGAATCTCTAATTAGGCTGACGCGACAGATATCACTGGATGTCTGACATTATTACAGACTTGGATATACGAGTATTTTCCTGCGTTTCGACCACACCACGACCCGGTTCCTACTGGGGATGGGATGGCACATGCCTGTGCGTGGAGTCCACGGTTCGAGAAGAAGTGCGTTGACCGCCTCCGATCGATACGGTTATTGCTTGACAGGATGTCCCCCTTAGAGGTAAAGTGTATAAATTTTTTTCTAATTTTATATTTTGATGCATTTATTATATGAATCTTACTAATTTGAAAAAATGTGCAGGTGAACTGTAATCCTTTCGGCTAGAACCCTAGTAATAGGGTACCTAGGACCCTCTACATGAGACTGATTCAGAATCGTGAGATCGTGGAGGCGTACATGCCCCAACGCTGTCTTCGCTAGCTTGGATTTATCCAAGTTGTCCCTCCTCCATCAGCATGGCCCAATAAGGCGGTCCGATCTGCGTCGTTGAAGGAATACGTCGTCCAATGGCCGGAAAGCATGATTGCCACGTGGGAGCAGTTTCTGATGGTTGCCCGCCTATGGACTGCGGAGTTGCAGCGGCCGCCAACTGGGGTGATTGGCATGTGTGACCAGCACTACATGGAATGGTAAAGTCGGTTTTCGCACTTGAGACATCATATCCAAAAGAAAAGAAAATTATGAGCGTAATTTGATTATTGAATCAAGTATCCCTAAAATTATGTATTTTTCGAGATTATTCAATATATATACACCATATGATATCGTATGTCTAAATATCCTACATTATCAGAACAAATTATTTGTCCGATTTAGTATCCAAGTGAAAATATTATCTTAAAATTTTATCAACCATCTAGACATTGTCCGGACACAAAATTTGATTGTAATATGCATTGCACGAGATTTTAACCTATTAGTGGAACAAAGGTCAAGCCGTCAAGTGACATTCATCATCATCAATTCTATAAAAAAGGTTGAAAGGCGCTTGGCCAGTTTCATGACACGAGCATTTGAGCATAAGTGCTTCCCTTCTCAGCAAGTTCAATAACTGGAGCATGCATCGAATCTCAGCCATTGATTTTTATGAACGGTGGTGATTGTATGATCGTATGTCTAAATATCCTACGTTATCAGAACGAATTATTTGTCCGATTTAATATCCAAGTAAAGATATTATCTTAAAATTTTATCAATTATCTAGACATCGCCTGGACACAAAATATAATTGTAATATGCATTGCACGGGAAAACCAGCACCCATCTATCTGAGGTATACTCGGGGGCGGAGCTAGTGAGGGACACGTGGCGACATTTGTCCCCCCAACTTTAAAAAAAATATTAATAAAAAAAAAAAAAAAAGGAAAAAGCGCTGGAAAAGAAGACTTAAACCCTAATGCTTTCCTCCACACTTCGAAAAACTCAAAAACGGAAACGCCACTCTCGAGTCTTCCCTCCACTTCGCCGACCGCCGGTCACCACTCACCAGCCTTACTGCGACACTTCCTCAATACTCAGACGACACTCGACACTTCGAGTCTTCGACAGTCACAAAAATTGAAAAACCGAAGTCCTGTCGCTCGGTCGCTGCCTGCCAAACCCCTCATCGTCGTCGGTCGTCCGTCAGTCGCCAGTCGCCGCCTCGGTCATCTTCTGGTGTTCGCTGCATCTAAAGGTATGTCTTAACTCTTAAATATCTTAATTTTTCTTCTAATTGAAAATTTGAAATCCCCTATTTGCAATTTTAATTGTTAACCCAATAACCCTTTCTTTCTCCCCATAATTTACTTATTTTTTGAGGCTATATATTCTGAAAAGGGTATCGGAATTTGTGTCAAATATTGAAGGGGATTTGTTTTGGTCTTTAAATGGGGTTGGTGCTCCTGATTTGATCTTTATTTATGTGCCTGAAGGGTGCCGAGTTGATGCCCCTTTAAATTTGAGGTATTTCTCAGTGAAAGGGAGTGATGCCGGGTCGAATATGTTGCCGGTTTCGAACCCGAGAGTATTAGGAGTTTTTAGGTGGAGATGGTAATAAGTGTTATTGGACTAATTATGTTCTTGAGGTGATCATCGGTGAAGGAGCAACATTTAGCCATTGTTATGTACAAACACAATCTTTGGGAGCTGCCCATATTAAATGGACTTCCATTAGGCAAGTATATTTGGTTCTGCTTTTATTATGTTTTTGTTGATTAAGTGTCATTATGTGCAACACTTTAGATTTTGTGATATCCTTTGCTTATAATCCTGTTAGTGCATTATCATGTGATTGCTTATACTTCTATTCTTGTTGGTGCTTTGGTATTTCGGAATTAAGTACATTATAATGTAACTGTCTTCGCTTTTATATTATATCCATAATTTGTCCCCCCAATTTGAAAATCCTGGCTCCGCCACTGGGTATACTTTAAATTTCTTTGTGCTTTTTTCATTTTGCCTTTGCTAATTTGTTTCAATTGTTGTTGATTTTACTATCCTTAATGGCCTTAAACACTAAAAAATCCAACTGGGTGTTTAATTTTTCATCTGGGTAGTTTAAATTTTAATTTTCTTGTGCATTTTATATATGGTTAGTTGCTAATTTGTTTCAATTGTTGTTGATTGTACTTTCCTTAAACCCTAAACCTTAAACCCATAATTCTTGAAGCAGCAATGGCAGAAAAACCCCAAAACCTAATTCTTGAAGATGGTTTCCCAGCAGTAAAGCTTTTTAATCAAGGGTATTCATACACCTATGATGATGTTATCTTTCTACCCCATTATATTGATTTTGCAACTGATTCAGTTCAGCTTAATACCAAGCTTACCAAAAACATTTCTTTATCAATTCCTTGTGTTTCATCTCCAATGGATACTGTTACTGAGTCTTACATGGCAGTAGCTATGGCTTATCTTGGTGGGATTGGTATTTTACATTCTAACAACACACCCTCTGAGCAGTTTGCTCTACTTGAATCTGCCAAGTCCCGGCGTATCCCTTTTGTTTCGGATTTTGAGGTTAAATCCCCAGCTGATGTAATTGAATTGAGTGATTTTGGGTATGGAACTGTGATTTTGGTTACTGACACGGGGAGCAGGAAATCGAGGGTTTTGGGGTATGTTTTGAAGTCTGTTTGGGTGAATCTGAAGAATAAGGATGGTAGGGTTTGTGATTATATGTCGAAATTGGATTATTCGGTGCCAAGTAGCTATCATTTGGATCAAATTGCTGGGTTTTTGGGAGATAAAGGGGTTAAGTTGGTGCCAACTGTGAGAGAGAGTGATGGGGAAGTTGTTGATGTGATGACATTGGAGGATATAGAAAAGTTTCAGGAGTATCCGAAGAGAGGTTTGCCGTCGTTAACACCTAATGGGGATTTCTTGGTGGGAGCTGCAATAGGGACTAGAGATTCAGATAAACAGAGGTTGGAGTACTTGGTCAAGGGTGGGGTTGATGCAGTGGTGTTGGATAGTTCTCAAGGGAATTCTATTTATCAGCTGGATATGATTAAGTATATAAAGAAGACATACCCAGGATTGGATGTTATTGGAGGGAATGTGGTGACTGCATACCAAGCTCAAAACTTGATTCAAGCCGGAGTTGATGGGCTGAGAGTTGGCATGGGATCGGGGTCGATTTGTACAACTCAGGAGGTTTGTGCTGTGGGCAGAGGACAGGTGACTCTTTGGTCCTTTTGAAACTATTATTAAATGTGTGTAAGAAATTGCTGTAGTAGCTTCATTATCATATTGTTAATGTTCTATTTCATTTTGCTTATTGCATTCATTATTTTGAATCAAACATAGAATAGGGAGGGATATAGACATGATTTTTGCCTGTTATAATTACCTATAATCAACAATTTCTCGGGGTATAAAGGGATGCAACATTATAGCTTAGGTGGTAGTTATTAATTGATGTAACATTATAAAGGGATGCAACATTATAACATATTTGTGCGAGACAGTTACCAATATTCCACTGTTACATGTTGGCTCATGGTAGAAATGATGATGAAGCTTAGGAGGCAGTCATTGTTTGTATCAGCACTCTGTTGCCTTATTACAAAGCTACACAGTGTTTTGTTTTGCGTAAAATTACTTTTTGTCTGAGCCTAAGTGCTTACATAAAATTGAATCTTGAAATTCTTAATGTTGCTTCACTTGTTAATTTTGTACTTTCAAGAAACTATAGTACTAACAAAATCTTTCTTTTATACTTAGGCTACTGCTGTATACAAAGTTTCTTCTATTGCTTCAAAAAGTGGTGTCCCTGTCATTGCTGATGGAGGCATATCGAACTCCGGACACATTGTTAAGGCCCTGGTTCTTGGGGCTTCTACTGTGATGATGGGCAGCTATCTAGCTGGTAGCACTGAGGCTCCTGGTGCTTATGTAGTGCAGGTATGTCCTGTTAAATACTTAACTATCCCTCATAATCAGTAATTAGTTCACAAATATATGCTAAAACATTGATTCCTTATTTACTTGAGGCTTTTCATGTATTGTCCATGTATTCTTGTACTATGATTGTGGTTAGAGGCTTGGGGTGCAGTGTTCCCTCTAGTGAAGTATTGATAAATTATGGGATGATATTTTGTGTTAGGATGGTCGCCGTCTTAAGAAATATCGAGGCATGGGTTCTTTGGAAGCAATGACAAAAGGAAGTGATCAACGGTATCTCGGGGACAAGTCTAAGCTTAAAATTGCACAAGGTGTTGTTGGAGCTGTTGCAGACAAGGGTTCTATTCTAAAGTTTGTGCCATATGCAATGCATGCAGTTAAACAAGGTTTCCAGGATCTTGGTGCCTCGTCACTTCAGTCTGCCCATGAACTATTGAGATCAGAAGTATTAAGACTGGAGGTATGGCTTTATTGATTTACCGCTTGCCTTATGTGTAAACTTAAATTCCGTAAAAAGATGTGCTCTAAAAGATCTTTATGCTCATGTGATCTGAAGTGTTTAAATGGTCCTCTTGATAGGCTCGAACTGGTGCAGCACAAGCTGAAGGTGGAGTCCATGGCCTGGTGTCTTATGAGAAGAAGGCATTTTAAAATGCATGCTGACAGATGCTTATGAGATGCAGTATACAAATATACACAACTAGGCTCTAACGTCTTGATCAAATTGTATGCTTTATCTTGCTCTTTGTCGCAACTTCTCTTAATCGAATGGGGTAAACTAAATGCTGATAGGTCTATGCTAAACAATCCTCAGTGGTTTTTGAAAGTCTATTGTTGAATTTAATCACAATAAAATTCAGAATTTATGTTACTTGAATCTCCTCAGTTCTTTTCTGTCTCTCAAATGTAAAAAGCTTGTACTTCGTATATTAGATGAGATCCTGAGTGTCCTGATCATTTAGAACTGTCTTTACCACTGCACCTGCCATCTCATCTGAGGTAAACCCTCAGAAATACTTTAAGATCATCCAAAACAGATGTTATAAATTATGAGGAGATCTTACAATTTTTCTATGATCTAGCCATGCGTATGCTTTATGTCCGAAGCACAAATCGTGTCCTGGAGAGCTGGGAGAACATGGCATCAACTAGTTCAGAGCAAAGGGGATGTTGCTGCATAAGCTAGCTAATGTAGCTGAAAATCTGAAATAAGGAGTGGTATCAGTGCTTGATTCATGAACACTTGATAATTGACATACATACAAGTAACTAAAATAACAGAAGTCAGAAGATCTTGCTTACATGAAACAGTGAGGAATATTTATACCGATTTTTTTTTAATTGTTTTTTTTTATTTTTATTTTTTATTTTTTTTACTGGGGTTCTCTAAAAATATAGGAAGAACCCGAGGAGAGAGGGAGTATATTTGAAGCGAGAAACTATTTAAACCACATGGATCACAATATATTCACAAAAGTAAAATGGTGAAGAGAGCAAAGTACATAAAATCATGGACTAATGAAAGCAAAGTGCTTGGATAATTGACCACAAACATATTTGAAAATGATTCCAAATGGCAAAGAGCTTTTTCTTAACTAGGTAGCTAACGCACGCGTGCATAGCTAGTTGTGTCTTGGAATCTCTTTTAATTTGGTTTTAATTTATTCTTTCCGTTTCGTATTAATCGCAACACTAGAGTGTTCACAAAGTTTAAGAAAATTTATAGGGTGAGACCCAAAAAAGGATTTTTTATAATATAAAGTATTGTTGGTATGAGAGAAATAATAAAAAAGTAGTATAAATGGGGTTGGTAGGAAACAAAAATAATAAATTATTTGTGAAATTGGAGTTAGGGGGAGAGAGAAATTATAAAATAATGATGGATTCTTTCTAGATATAGAAATGTTGCAATTAATATGAAACAGATGTAAAAGAAAAGTGTTGCGATTAATACGAAATGGAGAGAGTATAACTTTATTTGTTGGTGACATTAATGAAGAAAAATATGTTTTAAAAATATTAGGGGTACAAATGTTTGCATTATTTATAAGAATCATCTCAAACTTTTTAAAAGATAGGAAAAAAAGAGGAAAAAAGAAAGCCAAAGGGCTATGTTGGTAAAAAAAAAGGACAAAAAAAATATCACACATGTGATTCACATGCATAAATGAGGTATATATATGTAAATAGACATTTGTAGAGATACAACTGGCACAACACTAATTATTAGCGTTTAGCTAAACTTTTAAAAAGATAGGGATTTGTTTTCAATAAACGAGATACGGTAAAACAAATACTTAAAAGTAGAGGGAGCAACTCATCAATGTAAATAGAGAGAACAATTTTGAATAAATAAATACTAGTTTTTTCTCGTGCTAATGCACAATCTTTAAAAATAAAATAAATAAGAATATTACACTATAAGAATACGCGCGTTTATCGATGGGAAATACCGATGGCCACTACCAAGCCATCAGTAAAATAAAAATACCGATGACTTTATACTATCAGTATTTTACCGATGGCTAAAAGCTATCAGTATCTTCTTAAAAAAATTTAAAAAAAAAAAAGGTTTGGAGTAAGGAAACAATGATGATTAACATAAATAAATGCCAAGGAACATTAATTCTACCCAAACAACTCATTTTCATGCAATTGTTCAAGCAAATTGATGAAATAGATCAACACCTAAACTAGATCATTCTCATGCATCCAATTTAGAAATCAAACAATGGAATTAAAAGTGCATAACTGTAATTCCAAGCAATTTAAGCACAAAATCATCAACTCAAAGCAATAAAGTGTAAAGCTTATTGATCTACTTTCCTTTTATTTTTTTTTGATTGATTTACTTTTTTCATTAATATTATTACCTTTGTTCTTTCTTCTTTTTTTTCTTTTCTTTTTTTTATAACCTTTTATGAGCTTGTCAAATTAGGAAGGTTCCTTAAAAAAATTAGGAAGGTTCCTCAAGATTGAGTTTCTCCTGCTCATTGGTTGGCTACGAAAGCTCGTTATCGTAGATTTCAGTTTTGGTCTTTCTAGTTTTCTTTCAATTGTTGCTTTTGTTTTTGTAGTTCTTCTTATTAACTTTATTCTACATTAAAGGATTGAAAAAAGTTATATTAGACGTTTTAAATGGATACCAAGTCCTCTCCAAATGAACAACAAATCCACCCTTGGGTGCACCTACCTCTATGTGCACCCGGGTGAATACAAAAGGTGTTGTTTATTGTTGTCAAAATGGGAATACCCATCCACTATTTAGTACCCAAAAAAACAAGGTATACATGTTGCACGTCCCAATTGGAATAAGGTTATAAGCTAATAGCTTTCATGCCCAAGGTTAGGAGTCTTATCAGTTATCACTTAAGTTAAGTGGTAATCTTGTACTTGTGTATAAACGCACCCTAAGTGTGAAACATAACGTTAAGCTTCATGCCTCCTTCAGTCCTTCCTACTCTTTTTTTAAAGTTTTCTTCACCCTCATACGCTATAAAAAATTGATGGAAGGGGTAAGGCAATATCAATGTTTGGCAATACATATTACCAAGTCAAATACAAAGTGAAGTACAAGCTCCAAAAAATCACTATTCAACTGAAAGCTTTTTCCACATGTAATACCAGAAGTACATACAGAGTAATGAGGATTATTATATTCTTCCCATCACGGGGCTCATGCAGGTCAGCAAGAGCTCATCCGTACAACAATCTGTCACCTAAAATGACAACTAAAATAAAGCATCAGAGATGTGAAAATGGAAACCACGATGCATCAGTACAAAAAAATTGCATGCTACAAGCTCTTCAGAGCAACAGGGTGTATAGTTGGAATAAACATCGCGTTATTTGAAGCATCGTCCTGCAGCTGCCACCTTAGCAAGCATCAAGATCCCTGCATGGAGGCGGCTTTGGTTCACCTAACAATGTTTTATTTCCTCCTTCTGGAGCACATTTGAATCGGTTTGGATTTTGGGTGCCAGGCTGAAACAGAAAATCAGAGTAAGAGTAGTGCATTTACATGGATCTATTTGACTCCCATCTCTCTATATTATTAAAAAAAAATTATACAGAAGGATTAACAGGAGTGTCAACTCAAGCTAATAAAATGCTCACAGGCTCACACCCTTTACAAGAGCAAGCATTTGTTAATAATATAGGCAAGAGATTGGACACATGTATAGACAATTGAAGTTGCATGAAGCCGAAAACGTGTTAAAATCAATGATACAGTTAGCTTCTTTTTTTTTTTTTTTTTTGGGGGGGGTGGGGGAGAGTTCAATGATACAGTTAACTTAGTGAGAGAGAGTAGCAATTGTACAACAGTACATAATCATATATTACAAGGAAAGAACTCAGTATTTATTCCAGACCCGAAATTACGGAAAGACTAAGGCGTAAACACAATGCTTCTAGCAAGGACATCTTTGAACATTTTCCAACAGCCTTTGACCAGCTCATACGCGTTTGCATGGAAACCGTCAGCCTTGCCAGTGACTAAGAAAGTCTTGCCAATAGGTAATAGTTGCAAGAAAGCACTCACCAGAGAATTCAAGAAGTCATTGAAGGTAACTCTGGTTTTTTTCTGGGTTTGACGTGTTCTAGTTACCGATTTGTGTCAAATAGTTACTTTTTGATTGAAATTGTCTAAGCGCTATTATTGCAATATTGTTAGGGCTTCTGCTTGATCCATGGTCAGTTGGTATTGTTCAATTATGGAGCAGGCTATTATCCAATCTGTTTTGATGAAGTTTCATCTTAATGAGGCAGAAATATCAAGAGGAAATACCAAGCAGAGGATGCTTATGTCATGCAAAAAAGATATGTGAAGGTTTTATGCTTCGCATTACTATAGGGTGAGAATGATAAACTGCTGCAATATTAACCATTCTCTGAATCTCGACATGGTTGCCTGTGCCATTAAGATGCAGGAATTTGTTAGAATTAGGGATTTTTGCTCCTTCGTTCTTGGTGTTAGGATTTGACAACAATAACATGAAAGCAGCTCTATTTAGAAAGGCATTGTGATCATCAAGTTAAGTGTGGTGGAGAAAACATGATGATCTTATCAAAGTAAGTGTTATAGGTTGACACAAAAATGAAGATCTAAGAATTAGATGAAAAAAGAATTTGGAATTAGAGGTTGTGCTAATGACGAAATCAAATCACCAATACAAGTTCATGCCCCATATGAGGCTTAACCGAATTTTGACATCATCAAGGTGGCTTCCCAATTTCCCTTATCCACAAATATAGCATAAGCATACATATAATTATATAAACACCTCATTCTTACAAAAAAAAAAAAAAAAAAAAAAAAAACACCTATTTTTGGCAATTGGGGATAGCATCTTGACTTGCCTTAGGGCCAAGGCAAGGCCGCAAGGGCAAAGCAAGACATCTTATAACATGATATGAAGAGGTGAGCCGAGGCATTAATGAGATGGTTACAAGCACCAAGTAGGCCTCTCGAACCCTGGAAGCATCTCGATGCACCAAGTAGTCAGGTCCAAAAATGTTTTTCAGGGGATAAATTTGAAGGCGAATACACGAAATCAAACCATTTTTGGAGATTTCGGGACCCGATGTTAAAAACTCAAATGATATTTGGGGCTGCATCACAGGATTATATAATATTGTTTGGAACCATATATGGCCGCACGTCGGTCATATAAAGGCTTGCGGTGGCCATGGGTAAATGAAGGGAGGTGTGTACATAAACGACTAAATTGACATTAAAGGCAAAGTGGAAGGTTCCAATCACCCAAATAGTCTCGTGGGATCCATGGGAAGCACTTTGTTTCTATCCTTTTCAAGCCCGAAATAGTTGAAATTATGTAAAATTGAAGGCTCTCGACACTTTCATACTAATTTCAAGAAATTTTCCAAAATTGAAGTGAATGTGGGAGGTGTCCCTTGGGAACAAAAAAGTTAGTTTGAGGCCCCTCCAGAATGAATTTTGTTCAATCATATGGCTATTTTGAGAATAAGTTGTAGTTGTAGGCTGGTAGCCAAGAGCTAAAAGAGATGTTCTAATCACCATCTTTACATCCCCGATGCTATGAAGGTGACAGGAATCCTTCATTGGGTTACCAAACCCAAACCCATCCATTATTTACTTACTATTAGTCCATTATGTAGTTAAGTCATTTACATTGGTGTTACACACACCATTACAAAATTTGTTGGTTTTGGTTGTTGGTTTACATTTTTAAAAAAATAAATAAATAACAAACAAACAAACAATTGTTGATTTTGGTTGTTTACAATTGTCCACAGTGAAGCCTTTGTGGATTGGTGGCTGCTTGATTTGATGCATAACACAAACCTAAGGCAAAGAGGCTATACTCAATCATCCTTATTTTAACTCCATTTCAAAGATTCCCCTCGCAAAGCCTACTCAAATGAAGCCTCGAATTCCACTGACTCAATACAGAAGCTTGGAGATACATGGAATGCATTATGCAGAGTCAGCATAAAGGCAGAATGGCAGATACAAATGAAAAATGCTCTTCAAGGCAACATCAAAGTTAGAAGAATATTTCTCCTTTCATTTTCGTGTTCAGCCCTAAGTACCATCAAGTGTTTTTGGGTGCATCTATAAGTACAAAAGTTTCACAACCATGTATTTAAAAGGTCTTAAGGGAATGGCAAGCAATGTTTTTCTAACATAACAGGTATTTATAGGGGTGTAACTGTAGTTAAATGGAAGTTAGAAGTTAAAGGTTTTTGTGCAGAATTCAGAATCACACAGCCCTTGTAAATATATATTCTGTAGTTATTGTAGATGTTACTATTTCTAGCATATGTATTGAACTACAAAATAACTATCGTAATCCATAATGGGTGCTAAGACATGAGCATATTAGTAGTATTTCATGTATTGTTGTTTTTGGTTTGTGAAGACTGACAAAAGAAAATATTGAAACAAATTCATTAAAATATTGTGCCCAAAGATTAACAATCATATCCAGCACTGAAGTGAAGCAAAGAAAAACAAATTCAAAGGAGCATCAAGATCAATGACATGAAGCGTTGGCAGCAATACAAAACAGTGATGAGCAAAAATTGCAGCATCAGGGAGGTGATTGAGAACACTTTTCAACATCAAATAACACATAATAAAATGGTGGACAGCTTGCAGCTCTTTCAAGACTAACACCACATGAAAAAGACTGCATACCCTTGGGCTGTGGAGAGTGCAATGAGACTATTTCAGTAGCTATCCATTAAAAAGCTCAGGGATGTTTCTAGACATGAAGAGAATTGGTCTGCTAGCTGTAGCTATTAGATGGAATGAGATACTCCCATACAGCAATTACGCGCCTTGCAGGGAGAGTTTTGGGGCTCTGAAAGTTACCCTAGGTACATGGGTAGAAACAGGTAGAGGATAGAGGCTAACTAGTTAGAGTAACAGAATAACAGTGAGCTACCACTATCATAATTTTATCAGGATTGTACAGAAACATATTGCAAGTATAGAACTTATTAGGATCAAGAATATGATTCCAGAGGGTCCTTTTTTCTCTTTCACAGTGACTACCAGAAAGAACATGTAGCATTGTTAGGCTACAATTAGGATGTCAAACTAAAATTGACAGCTTGGCCAGGATTGTATCTGGCCTCTTACTACTTTTTCCAAAATTCTGACTAAATTTATACATGATTCACTTCCATTTTTCATGCATAATAGTATACGATATATTAATTAATAGAGAACTCACAATATCAGCTTCTGCCTAATTGTCCACTAAATAAGCCTTGCTATTTGATAACAGTAAACAAACAAAACTTCAAAGCAGTAGTCCAGGGGTTTATTGAGGAAAAAAAAAAGAAGTCATCTGAGTAGACTTACAGGTGGCTTCTCTCCCCTCTTCAGCATTTCAACAATTTCTACAACACGCTTTGGAGTGACATCCTCCTGCATTTGACAGAGCACACAAACATAAATTTCCAGACATGCCTTATCTTGTGGAATTGATGACTTAACAGTGAGAAAGGCAGCCTTACAATGTAGTTGTAGGTATATCCTTCAGATCCATTGGAGTAGTCGGCAATGGTTATCATAGGAGCATTCACACAACATCCCTGTTAATATAAAGCACAAGGTGACTTCATACTTCATATAGAATCAAAGTCAGAGAAGTGCAATAAACTGCATCAAACAATCAGAAAAATGAGGGAAGCATTCACCATGCACTCCATTTCTCCAACAGAGAAAAGACCATCCTTTGTCACTTCTGTAGATGAGAATACAAACAAAAACAATTTAACAATTCCTGATCTCATCATAGAGGGTCTTTAAGAAACCTTATTTAAAAAAAAAAAAAAGATACACGTGACTAACCATTTCGCTTCACCCGCAGATGATTCAATAAGGCTTCTTCAATTTCTCGTGAACCACGGATCATACAAGGTGTTGTTCCACAAACCAAAAGATGATATTTTCCAACCTGAATAAATGAAATTATTTGATGAAGCAAGAGGAAAGTATCCCATAATACAATCGGAAATCAACCAATCACTAATTTCAAACCTTGCTTCGATTGAACATCGAGTAGAAAGTTGCAACCTCATATACACGGATAGGAGCGACTTCTATAATCCTGGCCACCTGCGTAATACACAACAATTCAAAGAAAAAGTAATCTAAGTATCTTGAGCAAAAGAAGACACATGCTACAATGCAGCAATCACTCTCTTAATTTTCCGTTCAATACTAAAGAGCATGCATGCTAAAAAATTAGGATATCTGGTAAACAATTCAATACACTGTGCTATATATTATATATATATATATATTTGCTGAAACCTCAACCAACAATCTCCATTCCAAAAACAATTCAATAACTTAAGAAGAACCCAAGGAACAGCATGTAACTTAACTGAGGTCATATCCATATCAGCAGATCAAAACTTGACACTCCAATTACATGTTGAACATTTTACTTCTTAATTCCAAAATTTTATTTTCCATGACTTTGAGCATCAAAGACATCCCTAGTTCCTAGTATAGAATATATAAATATAGTATTAAGTCTACATTAGCGCAACAAGCCTAATAGTGAATAACATCTTTTTTGGGTGGGGCCACGAAAGAGGGGGGTGGTTATTGAATGTGTTCAAAATCTTCAATTCAAGTTCAGTTCAGCACTGTAGGCTTGTAGCCAAGTAGTATGTAAGAAAATTAATCAATCTGATACATTATAGATCACTGCATTCAAGTTGTGTGACTCTAGGTCTCTAGCAACACTTCAATTTTTTCTTACCATCACAATCTCCAAATTATATTCTAACTAAAATAAGTAAATTTTAAAAATTATTAAATTCTATTAAGAACAAAAAATCATAAGCAAGACATTTTGTAGGCATACCTCATTCATAGCAGAAACAGGTAGCCAACCTCCATGCTGTTGTTGTGCAAGATCTAGCAAAGGAATGACAGCAGACTGCTTGTAGTTGGATGGGTAGAAAGACAATATTTCCTTCACCTGCACTCAAATTTAAGAAGTCGTAAACAGAACTTATCTCTTACACTGCTAAAATAACTTGCCACCATTAAAGCTTGAAACATATAACCGCTGCACAGGTTTAGATACGTAGAAATTTCGAGAAAATAGCCCGTCATTGTTGTAATGCTAATTGTTCTAATTATCATAATTAAAGGCATCAACAATAGAATTTAAGTTTACACGGAAACAATAAAAGTATATCTGACATGAAAATGAACAGATAATTAAGGATTCTAAGGTTAACACTGATGCAAAAACAGCCATCTTACAGTGCTTATGCAAATGACAATATCCTGAGATAGTATTACAGCAGCAGACAACTAAATCCTAAAAATCATAAATTCTACGCGCTAAATGACACTTTAGTCAGAACTTTCCAAGTAGTATAGAGACAGTTTCTAAAAGACAAACAAATGAAACTGTAGCACTAAGAGTGGTACAAGAACACCCCATTATAAAGAGTAAGGTAAAGGAAACTGGAGGAAGAGTGGAAAATAACAGAAAAAGGGGGAGGCAGGGGAGTAGGGTAACGTAAAGATAAATGCAACCAATAAAGATCAATAACAAGCAGACCACCTAGTAGAGAGGATAAAGAAAGATTGAAGCAAATATTGGTACAAACAGAATGACATAATGTTGAAAGACTGATGTGAACACACAACTCCTTATACAAGGGATGAGATTCTGTTAGACGTCTTAACAACACCCCAAGTAGTTGAATGGAGGGATGATCCAACTTCAACGGAAGATAGACAAGCCATAGGAATTGTAACATCCCAAATTTCCAATGTTCATTGACAAAATAATGGTTAAATTCTAGAGCAAAACCCTTCACCATAAACTCCAGGTATTCAGGTATCAGAATATATTTTACATTCATAACCTGACATTTTGATTGTCCAAACTCTTCGGGGTTACGTTTTACATTCTCGTTGGCAGGGAATTAGAGCATATGTTTCTTAGATCCATGGTTTGCATATAATACTTTCAAGGACTCTCATAATACCAATGAGCCACAGCCAACTAGAGTACATTTGTGTTATAATTTAACCCATTCACATCTTTGATGACTGCACTAAAGTACTTAATTTATTGTCCGATAGTTTATACATGCCCTTAAAGTTTATAAACATTGTATCCCTTGATGAATACAATGCCATCCTGAAATCCTCTGATCACCATAATTGATCATTGGCCCATTGTACATAATGTATCTCGTCTCAGGGTAAAATTCGGCAACGGAATTACTCGAGGAAGAAAATTATCGTCATAAGCTAAATCAAAGTATCCTATGCATACAAATTTGTTAAATCATATACACCAATCATGAACTTGGTAAAAATAGGCAATTTATTACATGAAATACACACTTCCAATTAACTTTTAAATCAATCTCCATCTATGAATGATTAATTATATTCATAGTTTCATACACACCACAATTGCAACAGAAAAATGCATATGAAATTAGCTAAAATTGGTGAAATTCAAGTTAAATTAATACAAAAAATAAAAAAAAATTAATCACCTTTTGATTGTTTGTTTCAGTGAACTTCCATTGATTGTTAGGATTGTTATCCGGTGTATCAATGTGCTGTCAATCATATCAAATTAAACAAATTAAATTTCACTTACAAACCTAAACAATTAAATTAGCTCCAAAAAAATTGCAATTCAAATAAACGGGTCAACCCGAAAAAATGACAAATCAAGAACTTACGTAGTTGAGCGCAGAAGAGAAGGATCGAGAAACCTGCAAAAAAATAATAGGAGAGAGAAAGTTTCTGAGACGTTTCGTTACCGTTTTATTGGTAGAAAATGGAGGAGAGAGAAAACAAAAATCGACGATAAAAATGGAGGAATTAGCAGTAACCTGAGGAGATTGACGGAAAACTTGACGGATCTCCAGCAGCCGTTGGGCCGCCCTACGAGCGAACATTTTCAGAGGAGAGAGAAAATGGAAGCTTCAACAATGGAGATTTGGGATGAGAGAGAAAGAGAGCGATGGTTTTGGTGTAGTGATACAGATGATGAGCAATTGAGCAACGAGGTGAGTGTGGTTGCCACAAACTTGGCCCAGTTGAGAAATCTGGACTTGTGTTTGAGTTGGGCTGGGGAGACAAATGTCGTCGCTAAAACATCGATTTAGAATATAAGCTAATCAAAGTAGAGTTTGTGAACAGTATTATAAGTTAAAACGTGTTAATCAATTTGGAACGGAGAAAATATGCAAAAATAACCGATATTATTATCATTGTTGTTGGTTGATGTCAATGTACATTTTCAAACTATTTAACTTTTTTTGTTATCATTTTCTTATAATATGTAATTGAAAATATAAATAGTCAAAGTTGTGTATTGGATATGTATTAACTATTAAGGACATGGTTAACTCCATTGTTGAAGGATTTCTCGACCTCTATTTGTTGAAAAATCCTTTAACTTCATTTTTTAGGAGAGAGAATAGTGGCTATGTGGTTTAACGTTATCAATCTTCTCATTTGTTGAAATGACACAAATAACCCTCCTTGTTTGATTAAAAAGACGAAAATATACTCCCTTAAGAAAAATACAACGTATCTCATGACGCGAAACTTGTACATTCTTCTCACTGCAGCGGAAAAAAAAATCGCCAAAAAACCACGAATATTGCATATACTGGCATTCAATAAAACAATCAACAACAAGCTTTGGCGCCGCCGAGAGAAGCACAAAAAGCCTAATTTTAACACAAAAATGGCAATTAACAACAACTTGTGTTGCAAACCTCTTAAAATTGATCTAATACACATTTCATTTTCATTTTCATTTTCATTAACCCCTTCTTATCTCATTTTCTCTCAGGCAAAACATCAAACACTTGGTGTGCAAGACATTGCCACGATGTTCACTGGACAACAGAGACTCCTACGATTTTTCAGCAACATACCCAAGACCCTCAGACATTTAGTAGAAGAAAGAATTGAGTAATTCTATTCAACTTATTGGCATTGTTGTATTGCCTGCTCAATTTAATCAACTTAGCTTAAACGGATACCTTAAAAGAAAAGAGTAAGATGTACCTAGGGTATATAATTGGTATTTAAAAAATAAATGAACAAAATATAGTGGATCGCCCCTTCCCTCACAGCTCCCTCTAGCCAAAGGAAATACTTGCATTCAGCTCCAAGCGAGAAAAGGATTGGCTTGAAAACAGGTTGGGACTTGGGAGGTAATAGTTTATTAAAAAGTAAACGACGTGAGAGGAAAGAGTAATAATTATTATTATTATTATTATTATTATTGTAGTGATTATGTGAGGGATTATAATTAAGATTATAAATTTTATATTAAACGTCGTATTATTGTTTTTTTTTAAAAAAACAGCTGCATTAGGGAATTGTAGGTTTTTCATTTCGAGTGTAATACCGGGAGAGAGGAAATAGAATGGTCAATCAAGTTTTGTATCATGAAGTTTGGTGGAGTTTTGGGGGAAATGAAAATTGTTGATGAATTTGATTATAGTGGGTTGACGGTTTACAATAGTTTCGGAACTCCAACTGTTGATTTGCGTACTGATAGACAAGTATCTCACGTTTTTTCTAATGTTAGGATCTACCAAGGGTCAGGTGAAGAATTTGGTATCGAAATTAGCGGTATTAATTATTAAGGGTTTTGCAAAATCCAGAGTTGCTGCACTTCACCATGTATATGTGCCACAAGCACGACTTTAGTTTTGAGAGTATTGTCCATCAACTTTAAGTACTACATTCGTTAATTATTATGTGCAAATTTGGAGTATTTGTGAGATATAAAAGAATTACAAAGTTAGACATGATAATTAACGGAGGTAATAATTGTTTTGGTTATTTTCTTACACTTTTTTAATTTTTATTGATCATCAATTAGAGTATCATATTTTGGTTTTGTTTATTTATTATTTTGCATCTACATGTTTATTGATCAATTAAATAAATGTGACTAATTTTAAAATCTTTCATACTAGAAATAATGTTGTTTTTATTGTCAAATATGTACTACCTCCGTTAAATATTAGTTGTAATTTTGGAATATTTTACGTCTCTCAAATGATACCCCAAAGTTGCAACTAATATTTAGCGGAGGTAGTACATTTCCTTTTCATATTTATAACATGCTTGACAATGGGCTAAGATGGTTAAATAGCCAATTTTGTTATAAATGGTTGGGTGTTCGAATCCCCCCTTAACCTTATATTTTTATATGAGGTAATGTGGATATTAATAAAAATATACATCAATATTAATAAAATATATATCGAGACTTCAAACTATTTGGAATTTACGTGTCATCTTATATTCTTATTCACGTTTATGTGCAACATTTTATTAGAGCAAGCCCCAGTTTAAACCTAGATAAACAAATTATGTTTATCAAATGACATTTTCATAAATAAGTTGCATTGAAAATGTGTTTTTTAATTTAAAAATATACTACCTCTGCTACATATTGGTTGCAATTTTGGGGTATTATTTGTGAGACATAAAATATTCCAAAGTTGCAACTAATATGTAACGGAGGTAGTATTTTTTTACTATTCGTGGGCCATTATGACAAGTTGGACAGATTTTGAAAGTTAACACCGCTAACTCTCCGTTTGCTACTATTCATCACCTTCTTCCTCCCACCTTCTTCCTCTTGTTCTTTTTTTTTTCTTCCCACCCACCTTAATCTTCTCCCTCCAATCTGTGCCCACTTTCACCTTCTCTTTCAAGTCTGTTTGACCCCATTTTGCCGACTTCGCTGGTGAAATTAAACGAAAACCCTAATAACAAAAGGAGAAATTAATGGCATAGTTAACCCTAAAGGGTAGTTGAGTTTTCCTTCCTCCATTAAATTCGACTTCGGACTACCATTTTCGTGCGATTTCGCCGGAATTAAACAAAAACCCAAATAATAAAGTGAGAATAATGGGCATGGTTAACCCCAAAGGGTAGATAAGCTTTCCTCCCTCCATTGATTTCGACTTGTTCAACGTCATATAGTGAAAAACTGAAGTTTCTACCATTGAAATTGAAGGTTGAAGGAAGAGAGAGAAAATAACAAAAGGTTGAAAGAGGAGAGAGAAAAATTTGAAAATACCAAAAGGTTAAAAGAAAAAGAGAAAACAACAATTAACCAAAATTAGACGTAGTTAATCAGAAAAATCTTATTTATCAAATTTATAAACTTGTATTTTCTCATTTTATTACTTTGTATTATTTCAAGTGAATAGAAGTATAGATCATTATCAAAGATTCAAAGGGCATTCTATTGCCAAAAAAAATAAAAAAAAAATTATAATAACAATATTTAAAAATTAATAAAAAAATAAAAGGAATAAAAATACTGTAAATCACTTCCACAATTCAACAAAAAAAAAAACACAAATACCGCCTATACGGCATTGAAGGAAACAATCGCCCCCAAGCTTTGGCGCCGAGAGAAACAAAAAAACACAGCAAGCCAATATTCAACACAAAAATGGCAACATTAACAACAACTTTGTGTTGCAGACCTCAAAAACCTTTGAAAACCCTAATACCCATGTCATGTTCATCTCCATTAGCCCGTTCAATTATCTCATTTTCTCTCAAGCAAAACATCAAACACTTGGTGTGCAAGACATTGCCGCGATGTTCACTGGACAACCGAGACTCCTACGAGTCTTCTGGAACATACCCACGACCCTCGGACATTCAGTGGAAGAAAGAACTCTGTAATTCTGTTCAACTTATTGGCATTGTTGCGTTGCCTGTTCAATTTAATCAACTTAGCTCTGGCAAAGTTGTTGCTTCTACCCGTCTTGCTGTTCGGAAATCTCCCACTGATACTAGTTGGTACTTTTAAATTTCGCATCTTTTTTCATTTTTATTTTTTATTTTCTTAGTATATGGTTTGGATTTATGAATTTTATTGTATTGCTCTTATGATAGCGGTTGAGTTCTTGAAATTTGGTGTTTTCATAGTCAATGGGCAACTGGGATAGTGCTGGAATTTGGAAATTGTTTATACTTTAGTATTCATGTAACAATGGAAATAAGGTTTGGATGTTTCGGTTGATTACTGTAATTGTAGATGAGGCCAATCTATGTTTGAATTGATGGTCATTTCGCTAACTTAATATCTTGAACATCGTGGCTAACCACATTTAGAGGACTGATATTCCTTAGTTGTATGCCTTTACAGTTCATCAATAGCAACATTTTGTTTTTAAATGTATTTTTCCATATTTGTGGCAATGATGCTTATATTTTCTTTAATCTTTATTCATTTTTGTTGAGATATAGAATTAGGTAAAGCTTTTTATTTATTATCTGTGGTTATTTTTCTTTTAGCCTACTTCAGTGACTCCTCTCTGGCACCAAATAGTGGAACATATATACGGAGTACTATGTATGGATGCTTTGTGCGACAAAAAGCCGCTAGCTCACAAGTCATAATCCTTGATCCAATATTCCAATGTGTTTGCATTTTAAGGCTTTTTTTTATTTTTTTTATTATGAAGCTTTGTCAGCATAGTCCCTTTGCCCATATCCATGGTAATGCTTGTCCAACTCAAAACCATGTTTTACCACTTCAAAAGTGGAATGGGAATTTAGGAAGAAACACTCTTTGTTTGGGGATGTTAACATGGGCATTTACGTGTATCCTCTAGATTACACTCATGCTTCTCTTGGATTCTTGAGATCATGTCTCCCTTCAAAGCCAAGGTTACTGATGTAGCTTATCTGACGGTGCTTAGATGGCCACAGTAGAGGTACTATGCCATTATAAATGTTGGCTGCATTGTTCCATCCAAAGAATACCCTTGTAATCATGAAAAATGATAGGATTTGAGAGTAAAGTTGGCACTTTGGAGGTCCTGATTATATCTGTGAGGTCAGAGCAAAATATAAAGTCCAGAGAGATTTAGAGGAACACACATGTCAGAGGGAGATTTCTGAAATTTCCATGCGCACACTAATGAGTGCTCTAGATATGTAAAGAGACTTAGATATATAAGTGTGGCTAAACTCTCCAGCTAATAACTTAAGCTTTTGGGTTGGCATGGGCTTTGGCTCATTCATTGTCCCTCTTTGTCAAATTCAATTGGATTCTGAAGGTTACTTTCAGTTTGTGTAGTTAAGCACGTAAACTAGGGATTTCATTGGTTGCACTGACACAATATGGTTGTTAACTGATTCATTGTGTACTTGTATCCTCTTGGGGGACTGTGTTTCTGATGATTACCCTTTTCTTATTTTATATCTCTTAGTAAAATATGTGTGGTTCAGCTAGAAATTTTAGCTATCAAGTAACTTAGCTACTTTTTGTCTTATTTTGCTGCCTAAACTGGCTGTGTGTACTGTGTAGTTTGCCATTGATTGCATATCAAAGGCATTTCTTGCTCCTCTTGCCAGAACCAAGACCCTTATAAAAGACTACACTGGGTAATTGGAAAAGTGAATGTTCTGCCTTATAATATTGGTGTCTGCAGGAGTTAAGATTATGTGGGGAAAATTAATCTCCTTGCTAACTACTGTAAAATTATGTTTAGCATTTGATTTGTCAAATGCAAACTAAAACCTTTTGTGGTAAAAGTATTAGTCTCTTTAGTGACTGATGAAGTATCTCAATTGTACTTTTGTGTTGTAGGATCAATTTGACATTTTGGGAAGATCTGGCACATGTAGCTAATCAGCATTTGGAGAAAGGTCAGCAGATATATGTCTCTGGCCGTCTGGTGTCAGATACTGTTGAAAGTGAAGATGGGAAACAACAGACTTACTACAAGGTTAATTATATATGATTAAAATTCTTGCAGCTTGCTTCATGGCTTTGAATAAGGTTTTCTAATAAGCAAACTCATAATTTATGATTCTCAGGTAGTTGTTCAGCAACTAAACTTTGTTGAAAGGAACTCTTCTTCTCCAGTGGTCTTATATGATGGCACCTCTGGTTCAACAACAACAGGTGATTAATTTATTTAGCACAGTTGCATGGGCATAATTTGGAATTTTCTTTTTTATTTTGAATGTTTCAGCTGACATGACATATTTTCTGACTTTCTTACAGTTGGGAAGTTTGACAACTCTGCTTCAACTAATAAGCTTTCCACTCAAGAGCTATGGCAAGCATTTTTTGCCAATCCAACAGAATGGTGGGACAATAGGAAGAATAAGGTAGTCCATTGAGCATTTGAGTTATGTATTTTTTTTTGGTTTTCTGATTGCTTTAATAGCTAGGTCAAATATGAACGCTCTAGGGACAGAGAGGGAGTATAATATTGGAAAGGCCTTAGGAAAATGAGTTCGGATCTTCTACAACCTTGCCTTTATCTTCCTATTGTGAACATATGGTGGTGGTATAGAGGCATGAGTTAAGAGAGCCATTAACAGGACTCTAAGAGCATAATCTTTGATTTCTGAATGAGAACTTGCATTTCTGTCCAAAAATATCTTTTATGTGTGCACTCTGAGCTTTTTTGATTCATCGTTGGCCCAATTTTGGGATTGGCTTTGGAGTGTGGTTTACTAATACAGTTAGCAATTTTAGTGTCTTCCTTCCAACAAAAACACAAGTTATAGGCAAATTACTTGAAAATAATCACCTTAGTGCTTATTAAAGGACCACACTTGTTTGTCTCCTTAAATTCTATCGAGAGAATCCGAAATAGTCACAATACTTATTGCATACATTTGAGCATCTGAAATGACACTAGTATCTTCAAAGTCTCATAGGCAATTGAATCGCAGTGCGAGTGCTTGCTGGTTGGGGTGTAAGGACCAGTGTTTAAAGTAACCTTTCCTAAGGCGGCTTTGAGTTGCCATCACAGGGGCTTAAGCAACACATGGTGCCTGTCCTTCAATTTTTTCTAAAAAAAAAACGATTAGCAACTTGAAGGTCTCATGGGTGTGGGCTATTCCTTTAAGATTGCTTCACAAAGTGCTATATTGGATGTAGTGTCCTGTTGTGGTTTTGATAGGCATTTGGGGTCTTCAGCGTTCTCGGAAGCTTGTTATTAATATTCGTAGGTTTTTATCAAGATTTCATTGGAAGCACTGACAAGTCCAAAATGGTGATTGGTTTACACTTTTACTCCATAAACTAGACTTTGCCTAGGTAAGCTGCTTGCATTATGTCATCTATGGTCATATGGCCACTTCACGAACTTTGAGAATCTTTGTCCAGCTCCACTTGGGAACAACCTTTAGGGTCTCATGAGTATTGAGTTATAATGTCTGAAATAGATGTTCAGAAGGAGGGGGAGGACAGACAGGAAAGAGGAGGGGGCCGGGTTGGGGGGGGGGGGGTTAAAGCCATTAGTAAGACCTTTTATTATTGTATGTTGAGAAAGTATAATGAGGTATGAGTTTATGCCTTTGAAACAGGCATTATGCAGTGCCAATTTGGACCTGTGTAAAACCTAATCTATTGACTTGATGGCTAATAGAGCCATCAGCAATCTGTAGGTCTGCCATTTGTTATATCGTATTCCTGATTGCTAATGCCTAATAGAGCCATCTGAAACCTCAATGGTCTTCTATTGTTCTTAAATGCTTAGTGAAATTTGTGAATTGTGTTTTCCCCCTTCAGTTTGTAGCAGTGTAAAACCATACTTCAAAATGGTAATTGACATGGACAATTTTGATATGGGTTTAATGATGTATGTTTAAGGCCATCTATGGTTTTCCTGATCATTAGGGTACCACTCACTTTAGGAGAAAGTCCATTTGCATCTTAAAATATAAGACCCATGATTCAAAACTTAAGAAGTACGAAATTAACTTTATAGAAGATAGTTTAGGTCATCTATTTTTCTCATGTCCATCTTTTGACCTTAGGTGGCATTAAGACCCTTTACCCTGATTTGTGAATTTTTCTTCAACTTTCAAAAGGGCATAACAATTGTGAATTATAGCCTTCAAAATTGGACTCATCATGAAATTTGAGGCTTTGATTGCTATTTGGGATTCTATAGTGAGTGAAAATCTGCAATCCTCCCGATTTCAGGTGTTATTTGGGTGCCGACTTGGTTTTGCAGCATGAGTCATATGCTTTATTATTCATTATGTAAATCCCTGCATGAAAACTTGGTATTACTTGAAATTATATTGTATGTATTGATTTCTTGAAAGGTAATTATCTTATGTATATAACTTGCGGGCTGCGGCAGAGTCTCACTAATGGAGTGCTAAACTGCTAACTCTCCACTAAATCTTCTGTAAATTAATTTAAAGTTATTGGAACTTGTGTGAACTTTTCAAATATTATCTAGTTGTGAATCAAACTTTGGTGGTTCATACCCGAGCTTCTTGGAGCTTATTAGAAGTTATTGTAACTTTTTTTTTAGAATTTTTTTCTCCTGAAACTTATTATATTATATTTAAGTGAATGAAAAAAGCACTGGATGCTGGATGATACAAGCATGATGAGCTGCACAAACACATCATCTGAGATTCATGACTCGTGTTATTATCCATTCTCCGTGTGCCTTTTTTTTTTTTGTGTGGGGGGGGGGGGGGGGTGGAGGATGTTGTTTTTGGAGGTTAGGGTTCTTTCCAAATAAATCTTGTTGAGAAAATGTGTAAACCTTTAAAAAGGTCTCAGGGGTGCAAGTTATGAAACCTTCAATATTGATTTTACTGAACCTAATTTTAGATTCGTTGTCATTTGCAATCTTAAGCTCTTAATGATGAAAGCCTTTCCTTTAGTCTTATATTGGTTATAAACTACAAAGTATAAGAAACTTTTATGATACTTAAGTGTGATGGTGTGTTAAAAAAAAATAGTTTGAGTTTATATTTACATGCTTACTGAATCAGTTTGTTTCCAAATTAGTTGGACATTATCTAAGATACTTTAGTGAGTACGAAGTTTTAGAAAAATACAAGTATCAATTTTGTAATTTTACATTTCTGGATTGTCCACCGCGCACTTTTGTTTAGTGTTCTGTTTTGTTACCAGTTGTCTTTATGGGTCTCTTGGATTATTTCCTTGATAGTTTCAGCTAGCAGAAGGTTAATTCATTTAGTTCCTGCCTATATGGATTCTGCCCTTGTTGGGACGGTGTTGATAAAATTTGGATTTGTTCAATTCCTCACTTGTTGCTGCTGATATCTGTTCTGCAGAAAAGTCCCAAATATCCTGATTTCAAGCACAAAGACACTGGTGAAGCTTTGTGGGTGGATGCCAGGTATAATCCTCCATGGGTGAAATCTCAATTGGAAATATTGGATTCGAGAATGCAGTCTTTTCAAAAGCAGGAAGACTCAAGTTTTTCCAACTATTTCAATGGTGGTTACTAGATGCTGCGACTTCTTTGCTGCTATTGGATCACTTCTGTATAATTGCATGCTCATTTATTGTCCATTTCTGCCTTTTCGTTGGTTGATTTATGAACTTTGAGCTAAGCACCTTTCTATTGTACAGGGTATTATGGTATTATTAGTTTTTTTTTTTTTTTTTTTTTTTTTTTTTTCACGTAGCCTTTTAGTGTAATGTACATTTTACCCCGAGTCTATCTTTTAGGTGAACTTGTTATCACTGATCTATTTTAAAAAAATTTGTTAGAGTTGTGATGAATTTTGTGCAGTATTTAGTACAAGTATTTTTTTTTTATTTTTTTCCTCACTCGACTTTTGGATGAACTCAAATATTATGGAAGATCAAGTTGCTGTCAAACGTTGATGGATACCCAAATAATATCACATGATGATATTGTATATGGTTGGCAGGATGCTAACATGGCTTCATGGTAAAGAATATAAACCCTCAATGATTTCATTTTCAGGATATGATTTCATTTTTCCTATTCATCGTTTTACTGATTTATTCATCGTTATACTGGTTTAATTACCAAGACAGTGATTTGTTTCTTCGGTTGCTCTAATGACATGGTTGATCCTCTATTTCCCTTAAAGCCTTCTTCATTAAGTAGGAGAGTAATACTACGTCAGTGCTAACTTAGCGTTCGACATGCTTTTCTGACTTCTGAGCTGTGTTTCTTAGTGCCTTGAACCTACTTGACAAAGAAGGGGGGAAATCAGTTGGTCACTAAATTTTTGCCCAGAAATGAGTGTAACTGCGGATAACTGGATCTCTTTGTCTGTTACTTTCGTCTGGCAATAATCAAACCCTTGTATTTATGGTGAACCACTGAATCTGTCTGAGGTCGGGTCGATGTACTGACAGTTTAGTTTTCTGTTAGCTTTTAATGGTTTTATAAAGCCCTGTTGTGCGTCCCTAAGCTTTACGGGTAGTTTGACTAACTATCTCACATTCACATACACTGTACCTTTCTTCATTATACTTTATCATCAATGTTTGAAGGATTAGTTTTGGCTTCCTTGTGAACAAAGTACCTTTTAAGAAGGGTCAACCCTATAATCACTCTTAATTATTTTCAGATCTAGTTTGGATTTGCAGTTAGTTGTAGTCATTTTTTGTTAATGAAGTAATATGTCACCATACAACTTGCAATCTTTCTGCGTATTTTTTGCACTTCTTGGCTCTTGCACATGGATAACAAGTAGGTTTGTGGTGGAAATGGCTACAAAACCTTTAGCAGTGAGTATAATGAACTTAGTCTGGTTTGATTATGAATTACGCTAGTTTAGCGAATTATCCTCTGAAACGATTTCATGTAACTGGGATTTAGTTATGATTACTGATCGTAAATCCATTGTACAGTCCATGAACTTTAAGATGACATTTTATGTTACAGTTCAGGGCGTTGTGGCAATGGCAGCACCAACAATTTCTTAATTTTGGAATAATGATGATACCTTTTTTATAGTGAAGACATAGGAGTATGTCCTACTAAGGTGCTACGGCTAGTCCCTTGCTATGTCTGTGAACAGAACTTCCTGCTTCTGCTTATCAGTAGCAATTTGGTAGAATAGATGACTGCATGAACCTTCATCTAGCTTCTTTCTAATAGTTTATAGTTCTAGAGAGTTCTAGGGGTTCTTTAGTCTGACTGAATGCAGTCTGAGAGAAGTATGATATGTGCTACTTGGACTTGAAACAAGAACTGAACAGTAGATTTGTACAGATGCAGGTAACAAACATCTGTTGCCAAGGCTTTCTCATGCTTACTGGGATGCTGGTCTAGTTGAAGTGATCCTAGTGTCATGTTACACTCAGGGGGTGAAGTGGATAGAACTAAGAATTAGACACTCTACTTTGGAATGAAGAGTCTGTGTAACCTAGACTACGATTTTTACTATGATTACTTCAAATAAGCCTTGCCTCTACTGATATCTGAACTTTTCAGGTGCTGGATCTTAATTTGTAGAAATCATTTTCATTTCTAAGAACATCAAAGAGTCAGATTGTTGTCATATCTTGATTAAGAAAGTAAATTCTGAGGATATTTGAATTCTGAAATGCAAGTATTGCTAGAGGGAATGAAGGAACACTTCAGAATAAAGAGTATATATCATGTCAACAATGTCATTGTTACTTTTGGCTTTTTTTCTGTCATATCTATATTTTTTGCATTTGTACAATTGAATCTTAGGCAAATACATATATATCCAAAGTATAAAAAAACAGTACAGGTTTTGACTTTTGTTATCAGTTTGTTGCTGCAAAACCAGAATGAAACTCAAAACCATCCAAAAGGTCACAAGAAACCAAAATAGAAAACAAAATGGAAAAAAGGGAAGAAAAAAAAAAAAAGAAAAATCTGATCTGACAATTCTCTGTATGTGTTCCTAAGCCTCTCTTTCAGAGAGACACAAAGTAAAAAACCTCGAGCAGAAGCTTTTTTTTGTTTGTTTGATAATCTGCTGATTCTATATGTTGTGAGTTTGATTGATAATCTGCTCATGTGTTTGTTTGTTTCTCATAGGCATCCAAGTCCCTTTGCTTCTGAAGACTTCATGATCCGAAGCCTTTTGCAGGAGGTGATGAACATCTCCCATGGTACGTCTCCAACCAGCATCCAGTCACCATCCTTGTCTTCGTAAGTGGGTGCTACATCAGATCCATTATATCCGTCTCTTTCGGAGTATTGTCCGATACAGATCTTGAACATACTTTCCATAGCCTTTAACAGCTCTGGATAACTCTGGTACATCTTCAGGTCAATCTTCCTCAGGTATGGTGCTCCATCCATGCTTACTTTCACAAACATCCCAGATGCATCAGACTCGCTTTTCTTGGTCTGAAGGGTGTTCTTTCTGTATGAACGGATTGGTGGCCATCCTACAATTTGTGCCCTGCAAATTTGATGTTGAAACACGTTTAGTTTTCGATTCATTTCGTGTTATTTATTGTTTGATTGATTATTAGTCTGCATTTTGTTATTTATTTTTTTTTAAGTAGGATTTATGAATCAGTACTTACTTGGAAGGAGGGGGGCAATCTTCATTTCTAGCATCAGAAACACTAGAATTGTTTGTTGAAGAGGAATCCGAAGGAAGTTGATCAGGTGATGATCTCTTGATACTTCTAGCCACATTATTTGAATTAGATTGATTTTCAGGCTCTTTGCTCCCTGGTAATCCTAACCTGAGCTCAGTTGCTTCGAGATGGAGGTCGTTTTCGTATGTCTCAGACCTTGCCATTGTTTCTTGATCGATGATATTCTTAGAACTAAAATCAGATCAATCCTTGTTAGAGAAACGAAAGACTCCGAGTTTGGTTGTTGGTTGAACTGTTTGATCAATATGAATATGACAGCTTAGCTTGTTGCTAATGATCAGAGAAGAAAACTCCTTTAGGCTATTTCAAAGCTTGAGAGAATGAAATATGTGCTGAGTTGTGATGAGGAGATAGGAAGAGGAGGAATACTATTATATAAAAGAAATTAATTAGGCAAGGGAGACAGAATAAAACACACATCTAAGTCGGAATTTATTCTGCTTTCTAAGGGGAATTATTTATTAGCCATCCACACTAGAAAAGCTAATCCTGAGACGCGGAACCAGGGCCACGCGCCTCGTGTGGACCGTCTGATCACAAGGGTCGGTGGGGAAGACCCTTAGATGGATGACCCAAACCCCAAGCACAAGCAGTGTTATATGATCTTTAGTCCTGTGGGGTTTAGTTTATGGTTAAGGGTCTTCTTTTGTGTTTACCTTTGTTTATGGGCACAATATAAAACAGCTAATGGGTGTTGGGATATTGCATTGTGGTGAGGAGACAGTGGAGGGACAAAGAACAACCCAATTAGTCTAGAAGACTGTGGACCCGGTTTCGAATCAACGGGCGATATGGATCCTTGATTTGATTTTAGAGCCGTTCGATCACGAGGAGAGAGAAACCGAGAGCTTGCTCACCATGTGATCAAAGTCCCCACATGGATGATGATGGATGTTGCAATTGCATACCAATGTTGAGAGCATGACCATGTGGTTTAGATGTTATGTTTACATTAAGGGACCTCTTCTTTGGGTAATACTATTGATTATTGATTTCATGTTTTGCCCTTGACATGTGGGGTTTCAGTTTAGGTGATACCCTAATTTATTGCAGTTTTCTGCTAACTCATCAGACATTTTAGACTTTGAATTATAATTGCAGTCTGAATTATTGTCATCATATTCTACTGTTATGTTAGTCTGTTATTTAACTCATTGAACCTGTGTTTTAATTCCTGGTTCTGGGTGAATTCCAGTCAAATTTTCTTAGCACCCTTTTGTTGAACATCTTTTTTGATATTTCGATTTCGTTAATTATTAGCCAAATGTATAAAGAAGGTTCCTACGAACTTTCTCATGTTTCTGCTAAATTGCAAGATTTGCAGTTTCAGGTGCCTTCAATTATGCTACTTCTAGTATTTATTTGATATAGGAAGTTTCATCAGCATTATCCCCTTTTCTTTCCTAGTGGAAGTTGTATATATGACTCATAACTAGTTAAAACTTACTGATATTTTAGTAACTGCTTTAGTTCTTAACATATTAAACTGTCATATCCTGAAAGATCCTAGATGATAGTGCTATAAGGCCTGTAACGATATTCTTCGTTGGACCAAGCTAGAACTCGACATGTCATTTTCAGAAGTTCAGGGATCTGATACTCTTATTATATAAAATTATTGTAAATCTTGGATTTTAGATTATGTAGTTGAGCAGTTGAGCTGATAAACTATCACTCTTAAGGGTGTGACTATTGGGCTTGACATGATGGTATATAATCTGATATTGAAACGACCTGACCGAGCTGATTTTAGTTACTATATTGAGCTTTAAATAGCTGAATTCCAAATAGACTTGAACCGAAGTGATTGCCAAAGTGCGTTACTCATTACCTGAACAAGACCCTACCCGAATTAATTAACATGAAACGACTTCTCCATTGGCTAAAACTGTAAAAACTTTCCAAAAAGTCGTGATCTTTAGTAGTTTCCAAAATTTTATTGTTCATATGTGATAAATCTGTTGTGGTCCTAGATCAGGTTGCAATATAATAAATCCTGAAAATCAACTGCTAAAAATAATATTGTGCACATTTTCTACTAATAAAGATTTGCCACTACATTTTTCTTATATGATTATTGCTGGTACTTGTCACAACAAATGCTGAGATTTTCACGGGCAACTACCCTTCTTTCAACATCCTTTTGCTAATTATATCTTGATGTTGAAGTTTCTCTACCCAGATTTTCAGATTGATCTGTGGCTTAAAAGCGCGTAAATGGTTGTTTTCATTGGTTCGACGAAGAAGATACGTACGTTAAAGATTATCATCCAGGATTGTAGCTGGAAATTCTTCCATCAAAATCAGTTTTGTTGTCCCAGATTAGCAAGTTGCTAATCTTTACCTTAAGATTATGCCTAATATTCTTAATTATTAATAAATTGCAAGTGGAATAAAATTTAATAATACTAATAAGTCTTATTCTTATTGCTGAAGAAGCAGAAAGCATCACATTTATTGATCCTAAGTTTTCCTGCCATACATATATTTGATTTCCCAGCAACAAAATCTTATAATTATCAAGATAATGATGATTAATACTTAATTTGTTTGTCAAATATGTAAAAATTAAAATCTTATCAAGAAGATTGGTGATTAATTAATTATAACGAATTTTCCTAGGGACAAAAAAAATATGGTTTGGGGTTACACATAATTAGCTGTGATCTCTTATTTTTGGCTGTGATGTTTTTTGGCAGATATTTCTCACAATATCTGTACAAGTTCAAACTTGAGGATGAGAGTCATGAGACATGTTCCACCTTGCCAGCGACGTACCAATTACTAAGTGATTACGAAATATCGTGACACATTGATATGTACTTACTATTATGTAGTTTCGCTACTCATGCATGGTGCCCAACTTTTTGTATCCTTTACCTTGAATGAGACGCCGTATGTAACTGAATGATTATTGTAACATAAAAACGGAAGATCAGAGAAAGGGTTTTGATACAAAAATAGTTGAAAGCGTTTAATAATGGTCTACTTGTATTGTTTTATTTGGCTAATATTCTAGATAAGTATTGGTTAAAGCTGATTCATGAAAACCTTAAAATATTGTAACGACAATCTTAATCACGCAAAAAAAGCAGATCACTAGTACATATACAAGTCAACGAAGTCATCTCAAATGAATCGTACATAATAGTAATATGGAAATTCCACCAAATGTTCATATGGAAGCACCTTTAAATTCAAAAAGATGGAGCAACGTACAAGTTGGTATGGGAGACCAAGAAAAGGCAGTAAATGCAAACCAACATTGTCTATTATAAGCCTAACACAACTTTTAGGGGTGTTACCCACATAGCGCTTGTGCACATTCATAAATAGTGGGCTAAAGAAGATTAGATAAGCAATTGCAATTGATCGGACATTTTTGAGGTGTCCTTGTCTTAGACTTCAAAAGATATGTCTTATTAATATTTCATCAATATTTTTATACAAAATTAAACAAAACAAAAAATTAAAAAAAAAAAACATGAATATATAAAAACATATTCCATGGTGCTAAAACCACAAGACAATTTAGGTCCACTTTTTTTATTATTAAGTTTTTGGCCTTTATTTTTCCCATACTTCAATTTTTTTTTTTTGATTCAATTCCCATACTTATCTTTTGATTGTATTGAGAGTCATGTTTTATACTGTATAGTTTTTTAAAAAGGAAAATATAGGCACATTTTTTTGAGTACAAAGGGGTAAATTTAAATATTTTGTGATAAATTTTTAATGAATGTATCTTTGATTTTGTAATAATAATAATAATAATAATAATAATAATAATAATAATAATAATAATAATAATAATAATAATAATAATAATAATATGAATATTAGGTAGTTGAAATTTAGTTTGATATTAATTTAATAAGATCCCAGGATTTTCTTATATTTTAGCATGCAGATTTTATATATATTAGCAAACAAAGAGATACACTTATTATGTGTTCTTTATGTATTAACACTCGAATAAAATAAAAAATCAGTCAAATATGAGTAACAAAAAAAAAAAATCAAATCAAATCAAATTAGACAACATTAAACGTTTCAAAATTCAGATCATAACACAATTTCATGCAAAGAATATCTGCCCTCAATTTAATTTATATATTCAATTCCTTAGTTTAATAAACATTATTGCTCAACTTTATAGTTGTTGTTCTTAGTAATTCTGTTAATGGTTTAATTAAATGCTGCAGGGATTTTTGAAAATTCAAAGTGCATTTTTTTTTTTATGTCAATGGTACTTTATATTTTTCCACTTAAATTCCCACCAAAAATGGAGACCCCACATAGTTTTAGAAGCATAATATGATGTTCCCTAAAGTTTCTTTCAGTATTATTGCTAATGTTCCCAAGCCTGCCATCACCCTCGTCTTGACCGTACGTCCTTTTTGGACCCATCTTCTATTCCGTAAATCCAACCGTAAAAATGATTAATTTGTGTTTCTAATTATCTAATTAAACATTTGTTAATTATTTAGTAACATGAAGATCTAGACATAACATGTGGAATAAGGTACTTTATCAAAGTTTCGGTACATAAGATTATTGATAATAGTTTCTTGAGCTAAAATGAAGTCGCATTAATGTTCGATGACTATGAGATTTACTCCGTAGTGCTTTGATCATTGATTTTTTGGTTCAATTTGGAGTATAGTTTTACATACTACGAACTACAAAGTACGGAGAATAATCGCGAATTCTATTACACTTTGTATACTTCCTCCGTTTCACATTAGTTGCAGCAGTAGACTTGACTCATAATTTAAGAAAATAATAGACTAGGCTTATAGGCTTATAATATAAAGTATTGTTAATAAGAGATATAGAGATAATAAAAAAAAGTAGTGTGGGTGGGATTGGTAGGAAAGAGAAATAATAAAATATTTGTGAAAGTGGGGTTAGTGGGAGAGTGAAATTTTAAAACAATGGTGGGTCCTTTCTAAATATAGTAGTGTTGCAACTAATATAAAATGACCAAAAATAAAAAGTGTTGTAATTAATGCGAAACGGAGGGAGTATATTCGAGTGTGCTTAATACATTTGTGATGAAATTAAAGTGGGTTGGCTTTTTAAGAGATTGGAAGCCTTATATATGATAAACATAACAATCAAACATTTTAAATATATTCTCCTCAAGAAATAACTTATGAATGCATGTTTCATAATGTGATATTTTTTAGTGCAAAGAAAATCATGATGTGGTGATATAGACATAATTTAATCGCAATATATACTTAATAAATGACATAATAGAGTAGCAAATATGCACCTATGAATCCCACCGGTGGGTTTAATTTTCTAACCCACCGATAGGGGAAAATTTTTGTGAAACGCTTCCAAGATCTAACCTGCTCTGATATCATGACAAATTAGGGTGAAAAGATATAATAGAATGACTTGATTACTATTCATCAATAGATAGAGTATATATACAAAACCTACGTTC